CTGAACACACAGATATCTATGGGATTAAAGGCGTGTGCCACCACCGCCACACTCTTGCTATGGCTCTAATAGCTCTGACCCCCAGACAACTTTATTTATTAACATACAATCAAATTAATATTTCAGTACAAATCAAAATAATATTTCAATACAATTAGATTACCACCACAGAGGTAACTCTAACCAAGCAAGTGAAAGACTTGTCTGACAAAAACTTAAAGATTTTGAGGAAGGAAATTGAAGTGGGTACCAGAAGACGGAGAGACTTCCCAGTTCATGGATTAGCTGGCTTAACATAAGAAAAGTGGCCATCCTACCAAAAAGAATATACAGATTCAATGCAATCCTCATCAAAATTCCAACACAATTCTTGATAGATCTTGAAAGGACAAAATTCAGTTTCATATGGAAACATACACACATATAAACAGAAACAAAAACAAAACAAAACAAAATAACAACAACAACAAAGGATAGTTAAAACAATCCCAAACAATTAAAAAAATGGTTGGAGGTCTCACCATTCTTGATTTCAAGTTGTATTACAAAGCCATAGCATGGTATTGGCACAAAAACAAATGTTGATTAATGGAATCGAGTGAGTTGAAGACCCAGACATAAATCCACACATCTATGCACATCCAATTCTTGATCAAGAAGCCAAAAATACTCACTGGAAAAAAAGACAATATCTTCAAGAAATAGTGCAGATCAAACTGGATTTCTGCATGTAGAAGAAAACTTATTACCCTGCACAAAACTTAACTCCAAATAGATCAAAGACCTCAATGTAAGACCAGATACAGTGAATCTGACAGTTGAGAAAGTGAGAAATAGCCTTACATTCATTGGCACAGAAGAAAACTTTCTGAAGAGAAAGGCATTAGCACTAAGATCAACAATTAATAAATGAGACCTGCTAAAACTGAGAAACTTCCGTATAACAAAGTACAGCATCATTTGGACAAAGCAACAACCCACAGAATTGGAAAATATTTTTACTAAGTCCCCATCCAATAGAGCACTAATATCCAAAATATAAAGAGGAACTGAAGGGCTGAGAAATGGCTCAACCATTAAAGTCTAGACTCATAACCAAATATATAAGAACTCAAAAAACTATGTATCAAAAACTAATCCAAATTTAAAATGGAGTACAGAAGACTCAGAAGACACAGAACAAGCAGGATGTGCAGGAGGAGAGACTAATGGAAACTTGGCTTTGAAGATGACACAGTCAAGTCTTTTTCAGACCATGAAGGAAACAAAGTCTGGGATTTCATGCTTGAAAAAAAAAAAAAAAAAAAAAAAAAAGAAATCCTATGGTCTCACCAGTTAGAAAAGGGTGAAGAGGAACACTTAGCACAAAAACGTTCAGGGAATGAGTAACACAAGAAACATTCTTCTCTTGCTTCCCGAGGACCCCTTTGCTTGGAGACTGGGACCTTGGGTCAGTTATTGTTTCCAGGAGTTTAAAAGTTTCCAATGAAGGTCATCTTGCTCAGTTCTCTGGGAATGAACTAGCACCTTTAAGCCATGGCAATGACAGGTTCAACACCTTGCTCATCCATGAGTAATCATACGAAGGAAAGGGTGACAATGACCAAAGTGACACTGAAGAATTTTTATAGCAACCTGATTGCTCAACATGAAGAACAAGAAATGAGACAAAAGAAGTTAGAAAAAGTGATGGAAGAAGGCCTAAAGGATGAAGAGAAATGACTCAGGAGATCAGCACATGCTCTGAAAGAAACAGAGTTTCTTCGATTAAAGAGCACAAGACTTGGACTAGAAGATTTTGAGTCTTTATAAGTCATAGGCTGAGGAGCATTTGGTGAGGTGTGCTCATTCAGAAGAAAGACACAGGGCATGTGTATGCGATGAAAATCCTGCGCATGGCAGACATGCTCAAGAAGGAGCAGGTTGGCCACATTGATGCGGACCGTGACATTCTAATGGAGGCAGACAGTTTGTGGGTTGTGAAAATGTTCTATAGTTTTCAGGATAAGTTAAACCTCTACCTAATCATGGAGTTCCTGCCTGGAGGGGACATGATGACCTTATTGATAAAAAACAATACTCTGACAGAAGAGGAGACTCAGTTTTACATAGCAGAAACAGTATTAGCCATAGACTCCATTTACCAGCTGGGATACATCCATAGAGACATCAAACCAGACAACCGTCTCTTGGACAGCAAGGGCCATGTGAAACTTTCTGACTTTGACCTTTGCACAGCCCTGAAAAAAGCACATAGGACAGAATTTTATAGGAACATGAACCACAGTCTCCCCAGTGACTTCACTTTCCAGAAGATGAATTCCAAAAAGAAAGCAGAGACCTGGAAAAGAAACAGATGCCAGCTAGCCTTCTCTACAGTGGGCACTCCTGATTACATCGCTCTTGAGGTGTTCATGCAGATCGGCCACAACAAGCTCTGTGATTGGTGGTCACTCAGGGTGATTATGTATGAGATGCTCATAGGCTACCCACCCTTCTGCTCTGAGACCCCACAAGAGACATATAAGAAGGTGACGAACTTAAGGAAACTTTGACCTTTCCCCCAGAAGTTCCTGTCTCTGAGATAGCCAAGGGCCTGATTCTGAGCGTCTGCTGTAAATGGGAACATAGAATCAAAGCCTCTGGAGTTGAGGAAATAAAAAGCAATCCTTTTTTGAAGGTGTTGACTGGGAACATATCAGGGAGAGACCAGCTGCCATATCTATTGAAATCAAGAGCATCGATGATACTTCAAACTTTGATGAATTTCCTGAGTCTGACACTCTTAAACCCACAGTGATCACCCTGAGACTGACTACAAAAATAAAGACTGGGTCTTCATCAATTACACATACATGTCAGGGACCAAACATGAACCATGGAAAAGCACTAGCTAGGCCAGAGAACAAGCCACAGGCCCTAAACCAGATGCCCCAAAGGATAAGAACATCCCAAAGTCAGGTAGCATAGCAACAGAACAATGGGCCCTGACCAGTGACCTTATCACCTAGCACAACATCCTGCAGCTTCACGACCTGCACCCCCCTTCTCAGCTGCATGTCCTACATATCCTGCACATCCTGCACCCCTTCCCTCCTTCCTGTCCCCTCCCCCTTCCATGCTATATAAGCCTTGCTGAGGAGAATAAAATTTGCAGCTTGATCAGAACCCTGTCTTGCTGTCTTCCTTTGTGTCTCCCATCCCTTTCATTCTCTCCCACAGGTGGGTCACCCCCATTGAGACCCTGCTGGCTGGGGCAACTGGCACCCAACGTGGGGCTCGACCCTCGCTTAGTTGGGAACTGAACGTCCTTCTCCAGGAAAGTCCAGACGTCTGGTGGAGATATTTTTGTTGATCGTCCATTGAGACTGCCTGACTTGACGCCCTTTCTTGACCAGCCAGAGGAGAGTGAGAAGGATGAGGTTAGTCTAAACCTCAGACTTAACTGTGGGACAGGGAAGTTCTTCTCATGATCTTTTCCTTAAGGTCATTAAAGAGGCCCTCAAGACACAAAAGATAAAGGTTCGTAAAAAAGACCTCAACAAATACTTTAGTCACTTAGAGGACTGTTGTCCCTGGTTTCCCTAAGAAGGGACATTGATGAAAAATGCTGCAGAAGGGAGGGCGACTGCCTTACTGACTACTACCGTGTCTTTGGCCCAGACAAAGTCCCTATTGGAACCTTGTTAATGATATCCTCAGGATCCAAAGGACCTCCCCCTCCCCTGACATTGAGTCGGTTATTTCTCAGGGACAAAAAGTCATGAAAAAACAGTCTTATTCTCCCTCTCACGATGATTCACATCCTCCCCACTCCCCTGGACTCCCTTCATGAGCGCCCTCTATACAGGAGATTAAAAATATGGAAGAAGGACCCAATCACCCCCACCTCAGTCTATCTACCCCTCCCTCCAGGGTCATGACCCGGCCCCCCTTAACCCTGGCGATGGGCTCAGTCAAAAAAAAAAAGAGGCCACTAAATATTATAATTCTGATTGGCCACCTCATGCATCCTTGGCCCCCTTAACCCCCCTCTCACAAAAGCCACTCCCAACAAAGACACCATACAATCTTACTCAGCCCCCTTCCCACTGCTCCCTTTTGTGCCCCAGTCCTTGAGGCCCCTGCGGGTTCATCACCAGCGCTCCCAATGCCGCCTCCCCCACGCCCCCCCCCATGATCCAGAAATCCCCCCTAATCTCGTAACAGAATTACAGTGCCTACAGGACACACTTCGACCCCGCAGACAACACCTGGCCCTTCTAAAGGAACTATGCTCCCTTGATCAGGAGCTCTCTCATCTCGCCCTGGGCACCCCAAAAACTCGGCCTTCCCCCATTCCCTCACTCAGAAAACCTCAGCCACAGCCAGTTTTGGCTTTTCCCGTTATGCGAAGCCAGGTGAGTGGATCGGATCTGCCAAGTCTACTCTAAACAGAGGAATTGCCTCCCCTTGAAGAGGAGGAGGAAGAGACCCCACACGTGGAGGATCCCCTGGTTATGGGCTCCAGAGCCGATCAGGGCCCCCCACCCGGTCAGTCTTACCAAAAACTTAGCTTTCGCTTTGTTGAGCGCCTTTAATCAGCCTGCGCCCAGTATGGTCGCACCGCTCCCTTGCGTTGCTTGAAAACCAGAGCGAGGCCTGGCATACGCAGAATGATTAGTATTTTTGGCCCATGCCGCCCTGTCGGGGGGCAATTTTGTCCTATGAAAAACTGACTTTTCAAAATAACTACCGCGAGACAGCCCAGTGCAATGCTGATAACCCCTCCTCAAAACATTGGACCATTAATAAACTACTTGGCAAAACTCCTTATAACAAAAACGAGGTCCAGGCCACCTTTCCACCCAGCTTACTGGCCCAGATTCAGGTCACCGGCCTTGGAACCTAGAAACAACTTCCCCAAAAAGGCACTGCTACCACCTCATTGGCCAAGGTGTGTCAGGGACCAGATGAGCCCTATAGTGATTTTATATTCCATCTCAATGATGCCACTGAGCGCCTTCTGGGCTCAGGATAAAGCAAAAGCACATTTGTTTAACACCTTGCCTTTGGAAATGCAAACCCAGCCTGTCAGGAGGTTCTCTGCCCCCACAGAGACAGGGCCCCCCTTTCTGAGTATGTCTGCCTTTGTACTGGAGTTGGCTCCACTCACTATTGGCACAGCCCTAAAGTCAGTGGGTGCCCAAGATTTGAGATCCCAACTAAGTCGCCTTTGCTTCTGCTGTAAACAACCAGGACATTTTGCACGAGAATGCCCCAAGAGGATCCTTGCCCCATCAGGGGTATGGCCGTGATGCCCCAGCCCAGGGTCACCACTTATCCACTACCAACCACCCCATGTCCTAGATGTGGCTGTGGCCTTCTTCATTGGGCAAGGGAATGCAAATCTAAAACTGATGCTCATGGTTGCCCGCTCCCTCCCTGCCCATAGGGAAACTTTCTTTGGGGCCAGCCCCTGGCCCCTCCGCTCCGGGAGCGCCACATGGGGCCTTGCTGACCGCTCCCCAACTGTCTGCTCCCTCCAACGGGGAATCCCAGGTAGCACAGGCTTGGACCTCTGTGCGGCCACCAACGCAATACTAGATCCGTCCCAGGGCCCCCAAGTCATCCCTATCAGGATTTGGGGCCCCCTACCCCCAGACACTCATGCCCTTATCCTTGGCCATGCCTCATCCACCTTAAGAAGTGTCCAGGTCTACCCTGGAATTATTGATAATGACTATACAGAAGAAATTAAGATTTTGACCTCAGCACTCCAGGGTCTTGTTGCGTCCCCCGCCACCCGCCTTGCCCAGCTGGTTACCCTCCCCGCGCTTTCCTCTGATAACCCCGTTCAGTCCACCCAGCCCCAAGGAGCTTCTCAGACTGGCTCATTGGAGGCTTATTGGATTCTGCCTATTTCCCACTCTCGATCTACACTTACCCTTAAACTAGACGGCAAAAAATTCCAGGGGATTCTGGACACTGGTGCTGATGCCAGTGTGATCTTCCAAGACCACTGGCCCACCTCCTGGCCCCTCACCCCCTCCCTCACCGACCTCAAGGGCATAGGTCAATCCAACAACACCCTCCAATCCTCTAAAGTTCTGACCTGGTCAGATGAAGCGGGTAACCAGGGTACTGTCACCCCCTTTGTGGTCCCTGGGCTCCCAGTCAACCTTTGGGGCCGAGATATTCTCTCCCAAATGAAAGTCATCCTCTGTAGCCCAAATGAGGTGGTTACCCAACAAATGTGATGCATGGCCTTCATCCCAGGGAAGGGTCTCAGTAAACTTCAACAGGGCCAAACCCAACCCATTGCTCCCGCTAATAAGACAGACAGACTTGGTCTTGGCTTTGAGGGTTTTTAATTGAGGCCACTGCTCCCCCTGTACACCATGTAGCCAAAAATCACTTGACTTACCCATGAACCTGTGTGGGTAGACCAGTGACCTCTGCCACAAGAGAAACTACAAGCGGTGGAGATGTTGGTACAGGAACAGCTCACCGCCGGTCATATTGAACCATCCAATTCCCCCTGGAATACGCCCATCTTTGTCATAAAGAAAAAATTTGGGAAATGGAGACTCCACCAAGATCTGTGAGCCATTAATAAGGTTATGCAGTCCATGGGCGCCCTCCAACCAGGAATGCCCTCACCTATCACCATCCCTGAGCCCTATCACAAAATGGTTATTGATTTATAAGATTGCTTCTTTACCATCCCCCTACACACCAATGATCGAGCTTATTTTGCCTTTAGCCTCCCTCGGGTTAATTTTCAGGGCCCCATGCTCCGCTTTCATTTGCACAGATAACCTTACCACCCTTAATGATTTTCAAAAACGTCTCGGGGACATTCAATGGCTTCGACCATACTTAAAACTCCCTACTGCTGATCTTCTACCCCTCTATGACAGTCTTCAAGGCCCCAGTGAACCCACCTCCCCCCGGCAATTGACCCCGGCTGCCTATAAGGCCCTGTCACTAATCGCCAGAGCCATTTCCTCCCAAGCCTCTTTTCAGATTGATTATTTCCTCCTGCTGGTTTTTGTTGTCCTATCTACTCCCCATGTGCCCACCAGGGTCCTTTAGCAGAGTTCCCCTTCCACATTAAGGGCCCAGGATAAACTTAAGGGTCATTCCCTCTTATGGATTCATATGCCTGCCAGTCATAGTAAGGTCATTCCCACCTATCCCCAACTTGTTTCTTCCCTGATCATGCGCGTTCGCCAGACCTTGCATCAGATCTTCAGGAAGGATCCTGATTCCATCCTAATCCCCTACACCTGCTAACAAACTCAATTTTTGTTTCAGACAGTGGATTGTTGGGGTGTTGCCTTCTCAGGGTTCCTGGGCCTTCTTGACAATCACCTCCCCGATGACCCAGTCCTCCATTTTGCATCCCTTTATCTTTCCAAAAGTCATTTCCCCCAGCCCCTTGCCTGAGGCTCTGGCCGTTTTTTACCGAAGGGTCAGCCAATGGCACTGCAGCTTATGCTTTTCAAGGTCACTTGTTCCCCTTTCCTTCGCCCTTTCGTTCAGCTCAGCTGGTTGAACTCTTTGCTGTTCTGCAGGTTTTTCAGGATTTCCATGATCCCCCCCTTAACATTTACACTGATAGTGCATACATTGCTCATTCAATTCCCCTTCTTGATACAGGCCTCTTCATTAAGCCCACCTCCAATGTCAGTCCCCTTTTTGCTCAAATTCAACAAAAACTTAGAGAAGCTCCCATCCTGTTTTCATTGGCCACATTCGTGCTCATGGGGAGCTTCCTGGCCCCCTCACAGAGGGAAACGCTCTGGCTGATACAGCCACACGCCAGGTTTTTCCAGTCCTACAAGAGCCCATCCTGTCGGCTTCTTGCACCCACTGCCTCCACCATCTTAATGCCAAAACCCTTTGGTTAAAGTTCAAAATCACAAAACAAGCTAGAGAGATAGTTAAACAATGCCCTTCTTGTATAGTCTCCCATCCCCCATCCCATCCCCCATGTTGGAGTTAACCCCCGTGGACTCCTGCCTAATATGACTTGGCAAATGGATGTCACATGTGTTTCTGACTTCAGCAGACAAGAATATCTTCATGTTTCTGTTGACACATTCAGTGGATTTATTTTTGCCTCCCCTCATACTGGTGAGGCCGTCAAGGACGTTATCGCTCACCTCCTGGTCTGTTTCTCTACCTTGGGTATCCCAAAACACGTAAAAACAGACAATGGCCCAGCATACACCAGTGGAGGACTTAAATGGTTCCTCCAACAATTTGAAATCTCTCACACTACTGGTATCTCAAGGTCAGGGCATTGTAGAATGGGCCCACCAGACCTTAAAAACATGGCTCTCTTGACTAAAGATGTCCGAGCTTTCCTTTGTCTTCCCTCCCCGACCTCCTGAGCCATGCCCTCTTTGTTCTTAACTTCCTCACCCTGGATGGTGAAGGTTGATCAGCGGCTGACCACCATTGTTACCCCTCAGCAGATGCCAGACGCCCTTTGGCCATATGGCGAGACCCCCTTATAGGTGTTTGGAATGGTCCAGATCCTGTACTTATCTGGGGCCATGGCTCCGCTTGCATCCTTGACCAGGCACATGGTGCCCCACGCTGGCTCCCTGAGTGCCTGGTCCGATCTGTAAATTTACCTAACAGACCCAGGGGATTGACTGGCCCCCCTGAGGACCTTCCTCTTCCAGATGCTAAAGCTACCATCAAAGACTGAGACCCTAAAGAGATGGAGATCACCCACAAAGCTGCCCATTGTGAGTCAGCTGGCTGTCTGGGGTCTCATTCTCCTTCTGAGCCACAGCCTCTCTAGCCTACCCCAAAATACCAATTGCCACCAACCCTTAAATCATACCTGACAGGTGCTGATGGGACAACAAGATGTCATCTGGCAAACTTCCCTAGTCATTCATGCCCCCTGGTGGCCTGACCTTTATAAAATGGCTGACTTAACATCCCCCAATTGGCATGTTGATGATCAACCCCCTACCAGAAGGGCTCCGATCTTTTTGATTATTATCACGACCCCAGGCTTCAACCCCCCTGGGTGTGCAAATCAGGCCCAAAGAAAAAAATTTGCCACCCTCCGTTTTTATGTCTACCCTGGTCTGCCTTGCCCATGTGGCAAGGTATTGATTTATGGAAATGGATTAATTTAAACTGTAAGAACAGTTAGCAAGAAGCCTGCCACGGCCATACAGTTTGTAAGCAATATAAGTCTCTGTGTTTACTTGTTTGGGTCTGTGCAGCTGTGGGACTGGCGGGTGACAGAGATTTGTCCTGTATGTGGGCCAGGCAGGAAAACTCTAGCTACAGCTGAGAACTGGGAATACTGTCACTGAGCAGTGGGAACACTGTAGTTGAGC